ATCTTATGGACAGAATGAAAATTTAAAATGTTAAAAAGAATGAAGAATCATACATCTAATTTGATATTGTAAATTCAATACTGAGACCACACAAATCCACTCTGATGATGGCAGTGGTATTAGTTCCCAAGGTTTTGGTCAACGGCTTAAAACTGAAAAGCTGACCAAAAAGCAGGAATAGTTGAATTACATAAAATCTGGTCTGAAGCTGCCTCCATACATAGAGAACTAATATGTAAACGAATACAACCTAATGTGGCACTATAGTAGTCCCCTTTTATCTGTGGTTTCACTTTCTACAGGTTAAGTGTAGTCATCTGTGACCCAAAGTACTAAATGGAGTATCCCGGAAATAAAGAATACATCAGTCTGAAAAAAGTTTTATTAGATTTGATATATATAAATATTACTATACTTATGATATTTGTTAATATCCTATTTTATTACTAATGATTGTAAACTTGTACAAAAAGGCAAATACTGCACATACTCATTTATATGTTTGAGATTAATTTTATAGAAAAGAAAACAAAAACAAAAAAGAAAGAAATGCCCGGATGATTCAGTTTTGCTGCAAATACACTGCTTTTTAGACTTTGTTTTAAATCTTTACCAAATTCTTGGGCCTGGCAGCGTGGCCTAGCAGCTAAAGTCCTCTCCTTGAACACACTGGGATCCCATATGGGCACTGGTTCTAATCCTGGCAGCTCCACTTCTCATCCAGCTCCCTGCTTGTGGCCTGGGAAAGCAGTGGAGGACAGCCCAAAGCCTTGGAACCCTGCACCCATGTGGAAGACCTGGAAGAGGTTCCTGGTTCCTGGCTTCAGATCGGCGCAGAACTGGCCGTTGCGGTCACTTGGGGAGTGACTCATCGGATGGAAGATTTGTCTCTCCTCCTCTCTGTATATCTTACTTTATAATAAAAATAAATAAATCTTTAAAAAAATCTTTACCAAATTCTTGAAAATGTAATATTATTATAGTTTTAATGATCTGTGACTATTTTAAAAAATATTGAATATGAGTGAAACTGACATCTTTTAATTTGATTATTGCTTACTACTCTTGCATATATTCCTGATGAAGTAAGATCTTTCTACTTTAAAAATTTTGCATTTAATATAAAGCAATCATTAAATGAATTAAATGGTATCATTGCTGTGTAGATATAGGGAAAAAAGTATGGCATCGATAGGGTTTGGTTTTGGGCATCCATGGGGGTAGGGAATCTTTTTCCTGCCAAAGGCCATTTATAATATGAATTGTTGGTCACAAAAATGATTTCATGGGCCACAGACAGTCTGAAGACCGGGCATTCCCCTCTCCCTGGTCACGAGCATTCATGTTTGAGTTAAGAATATTACTTCTTAAAACTGTTATTATTGGTTTATCCTAGATGCTAGATATTTTGGACCAGTGAATATATTTTGTGAAAGTGTTCTTTGTATTGGGCTTTCATTATAGCTTCTGCCCTGTGGTCTGGAACTAGATTACCTAAGTTTGAATCTCAACACTGAAATTTAACTATGTCGTGGCCCTGATTAATTTATCTGTGCTTGTGTTGTGCTATCCTTATCTGTGCCTCAGTAGTGCTATAACCTTAAGGTAGATAGTAATACCTTTTAAGGCAGATAATAACATCTACCTGAAATGTTTGTTATAAAGTACCTGGTCCAGTTTTTGGTATATAGTTCAGATTTAATAAGTGTTAGCTACTACTACTAAGGTTACTGGTTTACTTTTCTGACTTAAACAAGCTTTGTTTAGAAACCCTCTTGCCTTTCTGGATACTTTCTATCCTTTGATCTCATCTTTGCTGATCTCATAGATTCTGATTGCTACTATCTATCTGATAGTGGATTGCTACTACTATCTGATTGTTCCTTCCTATTATAGGACCTTGATGTATACTCTGTTCTCTGTTCTTCCTTTTTCTGTTTGCCTGGTCACTTGTTATTTGTTGCTTTAAAGAAGCATTTTATTTATTTATTTGAAAGGCAAACAGAGAGAGAGAGAGAGAAAAAAAAATCTTCAATGTATTGGTTTACTCCACAAATAGCCACAACAGCCAGTATTGGTCCAGGCTCAAGCTAGGAGCCAAGAACTCCCTCCAGGTCTCTCACATGGGTGGCAAGGACTGAAGTAGTCAAAGCCATGTTCTGCTTCTTTCCTAAGTGCAATTAGTAAGGAGCTGGAACAGAACTGAAGTAACTAGGACTTTGTTACAAATGGAAGTTCCTTTGCTGGGTCATGATACAAGCTCTCTCCATTTGTTATTTAAAAATAAAGACCAAAGGGCATAAACTCTATCTGAATTTTTGTTAATCATTTCAGACCCAGAGCTCAGTACAGGGCCCAGTGTACAGTAGGAAAGTTAGTGATGTTTGTTGTATATCAGCCAGTCTACATATGGAACTTCAATTTATTCAAGCATTCCTCTTTATATTGATTCATATCTTGGTATTTTGTTTGTCTATTCTGCCTAATGATACAAGTTTCAAAAACTTTTTGTTAAATGCATATATTGTATGCACATCAGGCTTAGAAAACAAATAAAAGTTTAAGTTTTCTGCTACCAAGAACCTACTTGATTATTGAAGGGTACAGGCAATCAAAGAATAAGTGGTATACTTGAAGCTATACCTGAACAACTTGGCATATTGAACAGAAGGAAATTTAATTGGAAAAGACAGGGATGTATTCATAGAGGGTAAAATATCCAAATTAGTTCAAAATGATGAGTAGCACTTTTCCAAATAAACAAATGGAATAAAGCATCCATGCCAAAAAAAAAAAAATGAACTTGAAGAAATTTTCTTCTGTTCATTCTGACTTCCATATAACGTTTTGAATACTACTTTTTGGACATTAGACTAATACCTTTGTTCTACAGTTTTTCGGTTTTCCATGTGTACACATTACATTTTCTTGTTTGTTCTTGCCCTTACTTTCTCACCTCAGTTCTGGATCGATTGCACACACATCTTTGGCCCTTCTTTGTGATGTGCATTGTCCTTAAATTTTTAGCTGCATAGGGTGTTCATTCCTAATGGTTCATTACTTCTCAGTGCTTACTGTATTTAGCATTGTATCTGGATTGGGAATTGAAATGCTTAACTGGAATGGGTGGTATGTGAAGGACGCACATTCAACAAACTGGTAGAATGGCAATGCAGGGCTTTCAGTTGTAGCAAACCTCCACAAAACATCATAAATAGGAACATCAATGAAGGAACTCCAGAGGAACACTGAAATGGCAGGCAGGAAAACCCAGGTTTTACAGTGTAGCTTTATGGGCCTGTCTCTTCTTCTCGCGCCTGTTTCTAAATCTGCTCAATTAAAGAGATTAAATACACACAGCGCAACGCAAACAGACAGCGGGCTAGATCCCCAAGCGCGGTAGCACTCACCCCGGACGGGACGGCCGGAAGGAGTGGGGCGGAGCGTCAAGGCTCGCAGCTGGGCCCCGGGCAGGTTGGGGGAGGGGTGCGCGGGGCAGGCAGTTTCGGCATAAAAAGGCAAAAGGCGACTGCAAAGCTGCGTTCTAACCGGCGCTCACGCCCCCACCACCCCCACCTTACTTGTATTTCCGTCAGCTCTGCGGAGTTGGCAGTCGCGGCCTGCAGCACAGGTGGGTCCTGCTCCATGGGTCAGTGAAAGAGCATTCCGGGTGGGTGGGATGAATGGATTTGCCCAGGTGCTTGCTTTCAGGCCTGGCGCAGAGAGTGGCGGCGGCGTCAGCGCCCCCCTCTCCCCGGACTGGTGGGCCCCCGGGCGGTGGTACTTACCTTAACCCTGGAGGAGAAGGCCACTCCTGCTTTGCCGCAGGGCTGTCGTCACGGTTTATGCCAGTTGCGCGACAGAGTTCGCCTGGAGATCAGCGTGGGGCCAGATGGGCCTAGCGTTCAGGAAGAGCTGGAAGAGCTGGAACTAGCTCGCTTAGTGACTGACGGCCAGCTTACATTGTTTCAAACTCTGTGGGACATTTCAGCCCTGGTCTGTCACTCACTTACTATCCAGCTTCTGAGTCCTTTTTGTGCCTCACATGTCTTAGCGGTGGAGAGGAAAATGGTACTATTTGCACTGCCACACTGACTTTCTTTCCTACCTAAATCCACTAATGTTCCCTACCCAGACTTTACTCTTTGTCTGCCCCTCCAGAGCAAAACTGCTTAAAAAGTGACACAGTAGCACAAGGGGAAATTGGTTTGGCCAGCTCTCATTGTCTTAAAACTCTTAAGAAACTTTTAATACTACTATACTACTTACTGCCCTAAAAAGTGCCAGTAGCATTCATTCCATGCATTAAATGAGTATTGGGTCTTAATGATGTTCTTTCAGAGATTTTGAACAGATAACTGACCATAATGTTAGTGGGACATAGTACACTGCCAACAAGTATCATATGCGAGGAATTTGGTGATTTAAGCCAGCAGAATGAAAAAGAAAACTTTAGCTCTTACATTTAGAAATACTTTCATAATCTACTTCCATACAAGTCCTTTACAGTTTCTTCTTAGCTTGTTATTTTCTTTTCAGAATACACTGGAGCAAAAATTACACACAGTATACGTTACATTAACTCAAGAATGAAGGCAAACAAGTACTGTAAATATTTTAAAACAACACTATGTTGTCAATTTCCAAATCCTGCTCCTAAAGTAACTTGCAACAATAATAATGACCATATCTTACTCAAAATACTATACGTCTATACTAAATACTATATGTGTATACTAATTTCTGAGAGGTAAATATCACTTTTTAACTACAGTATTGTAAGAAATTAATGTTTCTTTAATGTGTTCCACCCAGCTCTTGCAACCAACCTGAACATAGACCCACTATTGGGCACTGCTATGACCCTCTTTGTACAATTCCTAAGGCCCTCCACCTGGGTCCTCATATGGGCCACATACCACCTGCCTGCCATTCATTGCCTGGTGTAAAGTTTTACAGGATAAATGGCTCTTGGAGAAACCTAGCCTGTGCCATATCTGTAGATATTAGGCAAGGAATAGCTGAAGGTGGATGTTGTTCTGGGTGGGGAAGAACTTACTGGTTCCCCCAAGAATTTGGGAAAGTGTGAGAGAATTTATGTCTGGGCATCTGCTGCACTGACCTTAAAGTGACTTTAGCACTGGCTGTTTGGCAGGATCCAGTGTGATTCTTCATTGAACCGTATTTTGACTCTACTCATCCTTTATTTTCTCTATTCATCATATTTATTCATTCAACCCAAAGACAATGGATGTCTACTCTGCCAGGAGGTTGATCCACTCACTGTGATTCACAGCATAGGATTACAGTAAGTCTGGAAGGACAGAACAAATCCAACTTTAAGCATGCTCAATATGAGACATGCTCACTCTTCTCCACTCTCTATACCTGGTCCCTTTTTGATTTTTATTAATATAAAGAAAACAGGTTTCATGTATTTCATAGGCAACAGTTCTAAGATGATTGTCATTGTTCTTTCCCTCCCTTCTCTCGTCCCTCTGTCTTTTCCTTTTTTCCTTTAAGTTTTTCAAACATAATTTTGCTTTATTTTATAATCACAGCTTTAATGCACCATTGACCATAAGATGCAGTGAGTAAAAAGTAGAAAATTATTGTTCCACAGTATAGGCATGAGCTAAAAACAGTCATCAAAGCATAAGATATTAGTTTCATTCATTTTTAACAATTTTTATTCAAGTACAATAGATTTCATGAAGTTCAGTTTTAGTTTTTAAAAGTTGTTTATTTTTATTGGAAAGGCAGATTTACGGAGAAGAGAGAGAAAAAAAATTTTCCTTCTGCTGGTTCATTCCCCAAATTGTCACAATGACCAAAGCTGAGCCAATCTGAAGCCAGCAGCCAGATCCAGGAGCCAGAAGCCATATGGGATTCTTGTATTTGCAGATGGATGATTAGTTACTTGAGCCATTGTACCAGGTCTAAATTCCAGTTTTGGATATTTCCATCATCTCAATGACAACCTCGTTGTCTGTTTGCAATGAAATCCCGATGTCATCTCTTTTAATTGATAATATTATGTGTTAATGTGAAATATAGTCACCTCAAATTGTTGTGGAATGCCAGAATTTATTCCTCCCACTTAACTGTTTTTTTTATTTTAGTTATTGAGCCTTTTTCCTTCCAGCCTACCCCTACACATCTCAGCTTCTAGTCATCTCTACATTCAAATGAACTATTTCTTATTTCTACATATGAAAGAAAGCATACAATGTTTATGTGTTGGGCTTATTCGTAGCATACTGTTCTCCAGTTCTATCCATTCTGCAGAATATGATTTCATTTTTTATGACATAGTGATATTCTACTGTATACAGATACTATTTTTACCCATTAATATTTGATGGATATCTTGGTTGGTTCTTGTATTTTGGCTATTGTGGATAGTTCTGCAATAAACATGAGAGTGTAGGTATCTTTTTTTAAAGACTTATTTATTTTTTTTTTTTGGAAAGGCAGATTTACAGAGAAAAAAAAATCTTTCATTTGCTGGTTCATACCTCAAATGGCTGTAAACAGCCAAAGCTGAGCTGGTCCAAAGCCAGGAGCCAAGAGCTTCTTCCAGGTTTCCCACAAAGATGCAGGATCCCAAGGTTGTGGGCTGTCCTCTACTGCTTTCCCAGGCCACAAGCAGGAAGTTAAATGGGAAGCAGTTCCACTGTGATACTCACTGGCACCCATATGGGATCCCAGTGCTTGCAAACAGAAGATTCTCCAATTAATGCCATCACGCTGGACCCCCAAATGCAGGTATATTTTTAATATTCTGATTTTCTTTCTTTTTTTTTTTTTTAGTATGTAATTCGGAAGTGGGATAGCTAAATCATTTGATAGATCCATTTTTAGTTTATTTAGAAACCTACACACTTCCTTTCATAATGGTTGTACTAATTTACGTGCTAGCAGTAGCTGCATCCCTACCAGCATTTGCTATGTTTTGTCTTTTTGATAATAGCCATTCAAAACTGAGAAGATATAATGGTTTTGATAGCGATTTCCCTGGTCAAGTATGATATTGAGTGGTTTTTTGTTTTTGTTTTTGTATAATGGTCGATCATTTGCACTTCTTTGAGAAATAGGTATTCAGATAATTTGTTCATTTTAGAATTGGATTTTTACTTTTGACATCAAGTTTTTTTGAATTCTGTATGTATTCTGGATATTAATGCTTTGTCAAATGAATAGTTTAAAAGTATTTTCTCCTGTAGAATGAAGGATAAAAATCATATGATCAATTCAATAGATAGAAAAAGGCAATTGGCAATCTTCAACATCCTGCCATGGTAAAAGCTCTGAACAAATTATGTAGAGAAACAACATACAATGAAAGATGTATACGAGGAAACCAGTCAATATCATAGTGATTGGGGAAAAGATGAAAACATTTCTTCTATTATCTGGAGCTACAAATTAATGTTTAATCTTACTTTCCTTATTTAATGTAGCACTGGACATTTCAGCCAAAGCAGTAGGCAAGAAAAAGAAATGAAAGATATATAAATACAAAGTGAGGAAGTAAAATTATCTCAATTTGTAGATACTAGGTTTCTCTATATAGAAAACCTAGAAGATTACAGAAAAATGCTTTTAAAAGTGATGAGTGTGGGCCCTGCATGGTAGCCTAGCAGCTAAAGTCCTTGCCTTGCACTCACCGGGATCCCATATGCGTGCCAATTCTAATCCCGGCAGCCCCACTTCCCACCCAGCTCCCTGCCTGTGGCCTGGGAAAGCAGTGGAGGACGGCCCAAAACCTTGCGACCCTGCACCCGCGTGGGAGACCTGGAAGAGGCTCCAGGCTCCTGGTTTCAGATTGGCTTAGCTCCAGTCAATGCAGCTGCTTGGGGAGTGAGTCATGGGATGGAAGATCTTCCTCTCTGTCTCTTCTCCTATCTGTATGTCATACTTTCCAATAAAAATAAATCTTAAAAAAACGATACACAATCAATGTACAAAAGTCAACAGTATATTAATATACCAATGCTGAACTTTATTTAGAAAAAAGTCATGAAAGCAGTCCCACAAAAATAACTAGGAAAAAAAGTCAAGGGAATGAAAGATCACTACAATAATTACAAAACAATGATCAACACCACAGAAGACCCAAATTAATGGAATGCTAGTCTGAGATTATAAATCAGAATAACTAATATTGTTAAGATGGCCATGCTACTTAAGGCAATTGACAACTTTGATGAAACCTCTATCAAGATATCAATGACATTCTTTATAGAACTAGAAATAATAACTGTAAAATTCATATGGAATGCTTCTTCATTTATTTAGATATTTAGTTTCTCTCAGCAATGTTTTGTAGTTTAATTGTGAAAAATCTTTGTTTCCCTTCTAAAATTCATTCCTAAGTTCTTTTTTTGCTGATGCTATTATGAATTATTTTCATAGTTTCACTTTCATATCTTTCCAAGTAAAGGGAAACATAAAATTGAGTTTTGTCCTTTATTCTACACAATACGTTTTAAACTGATAAAACAGTGTATTACATTAATTTTGAGCCACTAAGTTAGCCTTATATTTTTGGAATAAATCCTTCTTGACATGGTAAAGAATTCTTTTTAAAATTGGTGAATTTGATTTGCTCATATTTTCTTAAGTATTTTCAAAAAATTTACCAGTTCACTTCTCTAATGTCTGATACAGGTGAGTCTGGAGCTTTTCTTTAACAACCTTGTGATCCTATCATTAATTGGATGTTGAATGATGTTTCATGAAGTCTGTTCATGAGATTGGTCTATAAATTGTGTTATATTGGTTTAATTTTTATATGAAAGTTCTTTGAGTATTTCTCCTAAAAATGAGTTTTTTTCTCTGTATTTGTTCTTAGAAAGATTTTGTTAATATGGTAATAACTTATTCTTTGCATGTTTGCTAGGATTCAGCTGTAAAACATTGTGATTGATGTTACATCTAGGAGAAAATGTGGTCCATTACATTTTCTAAGAATTTATTTCATATAAAATACCAAATGCATCGATATAAAATTAGCCCTAGTATATTTTTGTTTTGAGTTTAATATCCATTGTAATTCTAATACTCCTTTCATTTTATCTTTTTCTCTTGATTAATTTTGCCAGAAGTTTGTCCATTGTGTTCATTTAACTATAAATTTTTATTGTCCATTTTCTTATACTTTCTTTGTGTGTTTTTCTTTCCAAAAATACCATCTGAAACTGAATATTCACCTTGTTTTTAAAAGTTTTATTTATTTTTAGTTTATTTGAAAGACTGACAGAGAGAGAGAAAAACAGAGAGAGAGAGAGATCTCTCCACTAGTTCACTTTGTAATAGCCAGGGCTGGGCCAAAATGAAGTCAGGAGCCAGGAATACATTATGGGTTTCCTAGGTCAGTGGCACAAGCCCAAGTAGTTGGGATAGCATCTGCTGCACATAAGTATACCTTTAGCAATATCCTGCAAAGCTTTTTCTTATATCATCTTACAAAGGAATCTGATACTAGCAAAGGACTATCTGATATTTGTGTGCAACATAGAAAGTATACTAATGTAAAAATGTAGATTAAATATCCAGTTTTAAAAAGTGAATTATATCAGCAGTTTGAAATCTGTTCATGCAAAGTTTATGATTTAGGCTTCTGATCAGTATTTTAATTTCAGCAGATGTTTTCTGTGATTATTGTGTAAACTACCTATTTAAGTCTATCAGGCAAGCATACAAGCTTTCCAAATCTGTATTAATACTGAGAAATTCTCTTCTTTCCTTCAGTTGCTAAGATATTATGTTGGTAATTAGTCTCTATGGTTCTGGGTTTGTTATGTTTTCCTTGTAGTTCTGCCAATTATTTACTTGTTAGGAACATCAAATTTCAAAAGAAAAATCCAATATTGGAAAATGCCTTTTCTTTAAAACATTTATTTGTTTTATTTAAAAATCAGAATTACTAAAAGAGAGAAAAGAGAGAGAGAAAGAGAGAGAGAGATCTTCCATCTGCTGGTTCATTCCCCAAATGGCTACGATGGCTAGAACTGAGCTGGTCTGAAGCCAGGAGCCAGAAATCTTCCAAGTCTCCTATGTAAGTGCAGGGACCCAAGGACCTGGGCCATTATTCTCTGCCTTCCCAGATCACTAGCAGAGAGCTGGATCAGAAGTAGAACAGCAGGAACATGAAATGATGCCCATGTTTGATGTCAGTGCCACAGGCAGAGTATTAGTGCTGACCTGAAAAACCTTTTTATGTAATGATTATTTCTAGCAAGGCTCTTTGCCTTAAAATATGTTTTTCCACATTAAAATGTAGCCCCTCAAAATTATGTTGGT